AAACAGTGAATGTTGTAATGCGGATCTTTGGCCGTTTGGTAGTCTAGGTTCGTCTTGAAATTTCAAGGTGTTAAAGTAAATCAGTCTTCATGAACGTCTTAGATATTGTTATGAAGGCTACGTGAGGTTTATAAAGAATTCTATCGAGCTGTTCTAGAGATATTCAGAAAAGCGCTAAAAGTCAAAATTTAGAGTAAAGTTTCCTTGCGGGGAAATTTCCATGGATACGTCAACAAGAACAAAAGAATTACCCATAACAGTACCCTATCTACCCGAAGTATGCCCTATGAGTTAATGGCTGCGGTCACATCTGGGCTACTAACTATAGTTGAGACGGGGATAACTATAGTTAGCTATTTCGGTAATGTGACCGCTTCTCTGTTCGCTCTAACTATAATTAGAAAAATTACGCCTCGGTGATCCAAAACAATACAGACTAACTATAGTTATACCTAAACAGGGTTGGTGGGTTAGTCTTAAGTTTACGTAAATTGGGCCTGATCTCAGGTTACGTCTTTTCGCACGTGCGAGATGAGCATATATAAATATGCAAAATAAAAACCAAGCGTGAAGCGAGGGGGAAATTAAAAACAACAAACAAAAAATTTACATAGGCTAACTTAAGAACTAACTGTTGTTAACTGCATGGTGTGACCGCAATGCCGACCGAAAGCACTATCTACAGTTAGGTGTTAAACTTTAGTTACGTCGTAGATGTGACTGCAGCCATAAATAATTAAGAACCGAAAGCAGGTCAACCAATCACGAGAAAGTGAAATGTACCAAATAGTAGAAATCGCGTGTTGTCCATTCTCTATTTTCCAATTCCCTATAATACACTCTGTTTGCCCCCCAAATTAACGTATTTGGTAACAAAAATTTACGAGGACCCTCATAACGTAAAAGGGTTCTCGTAAAATTCTGTTATTCAATACGTTTTAAACCCCCCGTCTGTCTCACAATTATGGGGAATTGGAAAATAGTCAATGTGCTGAGTTCATCTTGGAGCCAAATCCAACGCGAAATTGGACTTGCTGTTGACAGCAATTCTGAAAACACAACAGCATTTCGAGCGTCGCTGTAAATATTTTTGCGTTAAATAGAGTGAATAGACTGAAAACACCTTCGAACACACCGAAGTTTCCTTTACATCAGTGGTCAAGAATTCCTACCTCAGGTTTTACTTATCATGTCAGTCCATGGGCTATAGGAAACATGGGTTTTGACTAAATAAAGGTAAAATTTTGCCTGGTCAAATCTCCCGCAAATGTCTTGCAGAAAAGTCTGGAAATAGGCTTCGTTTTGCTTCAGAACTCAATTGATAGTCTTAGTTAACGAAACGGTTCTCTTCACATCCTAAGGCGAGGGCGAAGAGAACATTGAGTTTACCAAAACTTTACGAAGGCAGATTGAGTTCTGAGTCAAACCAAATTAAGGAGATAAATAATAATAATAATAATAATAATAATAATAAATTGTTTCTTAATCACCATTGCAGTCAGTTAAAAATGCTGAACTACAGGAAAAAAATACAAGCTTCAAAAATTTAATACATTATTTAATAATGCTATACATTATAATTACTACTACTTTAGCATTTACACACTGTAAGATTGATTGAAGGTAATAAAAAAAGTGAGCCACAACGCTTCGTACAGCACATTTTACTGTTGTCACATGCTTTGGTACTACTGGTCGTCCTTGTCCTGAGGTTGTAGTCATGAGTGTGATCTCTGCTACTAGGTAGCAAAAAGTGATTTGGGTGGCTAATATTGTGGAACGGCTGTGTGTATCTGTATTTCATGGATAACAGAATCCTCCACATTGCGAGGCTTTGTAGTGTGGGCCGAACTAAGGGCGTCCGCATAGGTAAGAGATGGATATGTAAGGAAGACAGGCCATGTCCTGCCACACCTGAGCACCATATTCTAAAATAGGTCTTATAGTGGTTAGGTAGATTTACTGTAGGTACTCCTCCTTTCCTTGATATTTGCAATGAGAATAGTCGCTTTGAGGCCTTCTTAAAAATATAATCGATCTGATAGTTCTACCTTAGATCGTTACCGATATACACTTCGAGGAGTTTATGTTTCGCGATCCACAACGTCATTGCCAAGAATTATGGGTGACAATACAACGTTATGATTATGCATAAAATTAACTAACATTTCTTTGCACTTTTTAGGGTTTAAACTCATATTGTGGTCATTAGAAAAATTGTGAAAGTCGTTAGCAAATAGAGAAATAGGCTGCAACCGTTCCTAGGCAAAATTTCGAGAGCTGTGGTGTTATCAATAAATTAAATTCTCAATTTCCAATCCTTCAGTAGGTTGATAGTCATTACCGTAAACAGGATAACACCAAGTTTTGTCCCCTGGGGGATGCCACATTTGAGGAATTTCAAATCAGAAAAAAAATTCCAGGTTCTTACAGCCTGCCTTCTATCGGTCAATAATGCCTTTGTCAAGTTAACCAGCGCGGGATCAACATTAAAGCTTAATAGTTCTTTCAAGAAGATGTTATGATCAATGAGATCAAACCCCTTGGAGAGGTTGGCAAAAAATATCTTCGCAGCACATTCCCCCGTGCCTGTAGCTTCATGAATAGACTGTAAGTGGTAGATTAGGACATCAGCCGTAGAATGACCTTCCCTACCGTACTGACAGGGGCCAATGTTTTCTGCTATTTTAGTAATAAGCATGCTTCTCAGTACATGTCAGGGCGATCGATCTCAAATGGGATTTACATAATTTCTTGAGGAGGGGAGACTTAGGTAAAGGGTTTACGATGGAGCTTTTAAGTAGCTCAAGCACATATCCTTCCACTAACGATCGATTGTAAATATCCATGATAACTCGGGCCAATTCGGGTGCAAATTAGTTAAGGACCCTGTTAGGAATCATGTCAGGACCAATAGCTTTACTAGTGCTTAAACTAGATAAGGATGTCCAAACTATGTTTCCTATATCTCATGGTCAGCCGTCTTCAGGGAAGTTTACCTCGAAACGGGGTTTAACGTTTTCTTCTCCTTGGGCAATTTATCGGCGTTTAACCGAAAATATGAATGATCACTACCAATAGCGAACCCAACTCAAACGATTTCTCAAGGGGAGTATTGACCTTTTCAGAACTAGTTGTCAGCTCTTTCAGTGACATCGCCTTGAATTGAAGCATCACAACCTTGGCATTCCGTCTGTTCACAGGAAATTTTTCTTATCTTTCTTAAATTTTCAAGAGACCAATTTTTTCACCTATCCTGGAAAAATTTTTAGTAGTTTTGGAAATAGAACAACCGTACTTTCCAGTACTTGGAGAAATAACACATATTTGAACCCAACCGTGGTAATAACTTGTTATGGCATAAATTGCATTACAGAGTGTTAAGTTATCGGTGAAAACTTAAAAACGGAAATATGAGAAGGTCTAAGTACCAACACGAAAGAACGGAATGATACTGAGCGATACTGAAGAAACAACCGTATCGCGATCCATGATAGAGGCTCAATCCAGCAACGCCTAGGAACCTTAACCACTACTATTTCCACTTGCCTATGTATACTTCTAACAAGAAACTCGACAACAAAGTCAAGCTGCCGTCAAATTTATTACCCCTTTTCATACTCAAGGCTGCTTATACAATTCCCCTAACGAGAAGATTTCATTTCATAACACCGCATAAAAAATGTATTTTACTGGTCTGACACAAAACGACCAAAACTTATTCAGCAAACAAACATGACTACAAAACACTGCAAAAAAAAGCTCTCGAAAAATTAACCAAAAAAGTCTACTACATCTCATACACTGATATCATAACGAAAGAGACCTTAACTTAATAACGGTATTAAAGGAGCTGTGTCACGGTAGTCCAGTTCATTTTCTTTAACTTTGCCAATTACTCGCCCTCAATCGCTATGGAACTTAAAGTAAGCAAAGAAATTACAGGTAAATGACAAAATCAGAGATCCAAGACAACAAATATGTCTCCTGAGCATTATTTCTGAAGTTGCAACCAGCAGGGATCAACTTTAAAAAAATGTAAGGCTCAGTTTTCAAAAACCCTAATTTCGATCCGTTTCAATCTTCTTCACTTTTGCCGATCCGTGGCATCTGTTGCCTGCGTTATGTTATTTTAACCTTCCTTTAAAGTTTTAAGCGGTTATTTTTATCTTTCTCTTAATTCAACGGCATTTTGTAATTTCCTAATTTGGCTGAATTTCGTTACACAGCTCCTTAAAACTATATTTTTTTAAGATATCGGCAGCTACTTTTGTCAGAGCAAGGCAATAACTATATTGTTATCCGCGTCGACAAGTGGACCACTTCCGGATGACCCGCCCATAACAGCACTTGCGGTACCTTTTGTAGTACTTCTTCCTGCCAGCACAGCACCCATAGGCAGCTGGGTTGTAGCTATATCGCCCACACCTCCGATAACGGATACACTTGGATCTTTTGCCGATTACGCGCCCATAACAGCACTTGCGGTTCCCTCTATAGTACCTCGTCTTGCCAGCGCAGCATCCATAGGTGGCTGGATTGTAGCTATATCGCCCACACCTTCGATAACGGATGCACCTGGATCTTTTGTGGATAACGCGCCCATAACAGCACTTGCGGTTCCCTCTATAGTATCTTGTCTTACCAGCGCAGCATCCATAGGTGACTGGATTGTAGCTATATCGCCCACACCTCCGATAACGGATGCATCTGGATCTTTTGCGGATAACGCGCCCATAACAGCACTTGCGGTTCGCTCTATAGTATCTTGTCTTGCCAGCGCAGCACCCATAGGCAGCTGGGTTGTAGCTATATCGCCCACACCTCCGATAACGGATGCACTTGGATCTTTTGCCGATTACGCGCCCATAACAACACTTGCGGTTCCCTCTATAGTACCTCGTCTTGCCAGCGCAGCATCCATACGTGGCTGGATTGTAGCTATATCGCCCACACCTTCGATAACGAATGCACCTGGATCTCTTGTGGATAACACGCCCATGACAGCACTTGCGGTTCCCTCTATAGTATCTTGTCTTACCAGCGCAGCACCCATAGGTGGCTGGATTGTAGCTATATCGCCCACACCTCCGATAACGGATGCACCTGGATCTTTTGCGGATAACGCGTCCATGACAGCACTTGCGGTTCCCTCTATAGTATCTTGTCTTACCAGCGCAGCATCCATACGTGGCTGGATTGTAGCTATATCGCCCACATTTAAGATAACGGATGCACCTGGATCTTTTGTGGATAACGCGCCCATAACAGCACTTGCGGTTCCCTCTATAGTATCTTGTCTTGCCAGCGCAGCATCCATAGGTGACTGGATTGTAGCTATATCGCCCACATTTAGGATGACGGATGCACCTGGATCTTTTGTGGATAACGCGCCCATAACAGCACTTGCGGTTCCCTCTATAGTATCTTGTCTTGCCAGCGCAGCATCCATAGGTGGCTGGATTGTAGCTATATCGCCCACATTTAGGATGACGGATGCACCTGGATCTTTTGTGGATAACGCGCCCATAACAGCACTTGCGGTTCCCTCTATAGTATCTTGTCTTGCCAGCGCAGCATCCATAGGTGGCTGGATTGTAGCTATATCGCCCACATTTAGGATGACGGATGCACCTGGATCTTTTGTGGATAACGCGCCCATAACAGCACTTGCGGTTCCCTCTATAGTATCTTGTCTTGCCAGCGCAGCATCCATAGGTGGCTGGATTGTAGCTATATCGCCCACATTTAGGATGACGGATGCACCTGGATCTTTTGTGGATAACGCGCCCATAACAGCACTTGCGGTTCCCTCTATAGTATCTTGTCTTGCCAGCGCAGCATCCATAGGTGGCTGGATTGTAGCTATATCGCCCACATTTAGGATGACGGATGCACCTGGATCTTTTGTGGATAACGCGCCCATAACAGCACTTGCGGTTCCCTCTATAGTATCTTGTCTTGCCAGCGCAGCATCCATAGGTGGCTGGATTGTAGCTATATCGCCCACATTTAGGATGACGGATGCACCTGGATCTTTTGTGGATAACGCGCCCATAACAGCACTTGCGGTTCCCTCTATAGTATCTTGTCTTGCCAGCGCAGCATCCATAGGTGGCTGGATTGTAGCTATATCGCCCACATTTAGGATGACGGATGCACCTGGATCTTTTGTGGATAACGCGCCCATAACAGCACTTGCGGTTCCCTCTATAGTATCTTGTCTTGCCAGCGCAGCATCCATAGGTGGCTGGATTGTAGCTATATCGCCCACATTTAGGATAACGGATGCACCTGGATCTTTTGTGGATAACGCGCCCATAACAGCACTTGCGGTTCCCTCTATAGTATCTTGTCTTGCCAGCGCAGCATCCATAGGTGGCTGGATTGTATCTATATCGCCCACATTTAGGATAACGAATGCACCTGGATCTTTTGTGGATAACGCGCCCATAACAGCACTTGCGGTTCCCTCTATAGTATCTTGTCTTGCCAGCGCAGCATCCATAGGTGGCTGGATTGTATCTATATCGCCCACATTTAGGATAACGAATGCACCTGGATCTTTTGTGGATAACGCGCCCATAACAGCACTTGCGGTTCCCTCTATAGTATCTTGTCTTGCCAGCGCAGCATCCATAGGTGGCTGGATTGTATCTATATCGCCCACATTTAGGATAACGAATGCACCTGGATCTTTTGCGGATAACGCGCCCATAACAGCACTTGCGGTTTCCTCTATAGTATCTTGTCCTGCCAGCGCAGCATCCATAGATCAATGGATTGTAGGTATTCCTGCCGCATTTTAGATTAGGGATGCATGTAGCTCTTTTGGTAATTATTCGGCCATAACAGCACTTGTGGGTTCCTTTGCAGTATCTGTGTTTGCCAGCGCAACATCCATAATTCATTGGATTGTACCATGATGTGCCGCAGCTAACCAAGCGAACGCAGTAGGCGGTCTTAGGGATGGTGCGACCATGACAGCACTTTTGACTCTTTCTCAAGTATATGCTTCTACCAAAACAGCATCCATATGTTAATGGGTTGTAGCTATATCGCCCACATCTCAGTGGTCGAACGCAGAAGGATTTTCTGGCGATGATTCGGCCATGACAGCACTTTTGGCTCTTTCTATAGAACGTTTTTTTGCCTCCACAACAACCATTGGTCAAAGGATAGTAGTTATATTTTCCACATTTTAGTGGTCGCACACAAGTTGAAGCTCTTGGAATGACGAGACCATGACAGCACTTTTGGCTCCTTTTGTAATATCTTCTACCAGAGCAGCAACCATGGGTGAGTGGGTTGTATCTATGCCAGCCACAAGTGAGTACACCTATACACCAAGACCGTTTGGGTATAACACGACCATAACAGCACTTCTTGATCCCTTTGGGGTAAACATATTTGCATGCACAGCACCCTTGGGTCAGCGGTCTGTAGCGTGAGGCACCACACCTTAGATATCCTGTTTTAAGGGATGATGCGTCATCTTTGGCTTGCGTTGAATCTGTGATAATCCAAGAAGGTAATATAAAAAAAAATATTTTGAATCAATGTAAGAAAGAGAGAAAGAAGTTGATTAAGGAAATTAAAAAGCAGTCATCATGATTTAAGTGAAAAGAGGTAAACACAATAGAGCCATGAAACGTAGGCACAAACGAAGATAAACAAAGATTAAGAGAAAACATCTTGCGAACCCTCGATGGAGTCTCTGAAGGGTTTCTTTGGCGAACAATCAGAAACACGCGCATCAGCTGCATTAGCCACCTTATCGCCATTTGGAGCTGGAAAGTGTTCATCACCAGAAGACAGGTTTTCTTGAAAGGACTCAGCGTTCCAGGCTAGAGCGCAAGAGACTGCGAGAAGAACAACTATCACTTCCGCAAGGCTGCCGCTCCCCATTCTTGTGTCACGATCAGTGTGCGGCTGAGCGACTCTGTGTAAGATACAAAAAAAATGTTAAGACATTGACAATTCAAGAGAAACGAAAATAAAGTAGAACTGCCAATGGCTGCGAATGACAGAACAATGATACGCCTTTTTAAATGACAGGTGTCATTTTCCTTATATTATGTATCTTTTATGACATTTTTTCTGAGTATCAAAAAGAAGAATGGACTTTTCATGCTCCCTTACTGTCGATATGTCAAGGAACTAGTGTCAATATTTAACTCCAAAATGTCCCATGTTAAAATTACGGTTCCACTGTTCACTGATAAATACCGGTTCTTTCGTTCTGACCAGCAAAATTTGTCCCATTGCATGCTTAGCTTGTTAAAAAAGGATTCCGAACAGAAACAACCCCCGGCAATATTTTGAGTCCGATGGTTATGTATGAAATTAATGAGAACAATAAAAAAAACATTTGGCTGCAATTAGCAATCAGGAAAATTCACGTTCTCGCACAGCAGACAACGCTAGCGCTATCGCTGTACAGGATGCATGAAACACAAAACTCTTATGTAATTTTTTTAGCATCCTTGATCATTTTTATCCAGTAACTGGTTGAGAAGAAATTTGAAAATTAAACTTAAAAGTCGGTTTGTTAATATCGCGTTTTACATAGAAGGCTATAAGAGGTTCCTCTCTCCCATTTTCGCCTCGTCCTCCTCTTTTTCCACCCCAAAACACCTGATACGCTAGCTAGGATAGACTGGACTTCTTCATAAACCCAACAACTCAACGAATTTAACCCAAACTATAAGGCTGCTTATAACTCTTACATAATGTGATGATTTTACCGATTCTAATTTTGCATTTTTCAAATTACTGAATATTTAAGGGTTCCTAAAACAGGCGACAGTGAAATTTCACACAGACCCAAGTAATCAGGGGCACTTAACGACGGTTTCCTCCTTAATACATTGAAAGCACTTTTTAAGCTATCCAGAGTACTTTTAGATCCCTAGAGGTGCATTTTAAGAGCCACTATAAAATTTATATCTGTTTGGTCATCCTAGGGTAGCCTGAATTTCATCCGATTGCTTCGAGTCGTTTTCTCCTCTCGGGAGTAATAACGACTCCAAGTAATCGAATGAAATTCAGGCTAATCCTTGGGCAAAGTGAGTTGTTTCGAAATTACGAGGGATTCAGTATTATTTTCCCGAAATTTTTAGATTTAATTTAAGGTATTACGAAGGACAGAATTTTTCTGCTTCCTCTTTCCATCACATTTTTGATTCCGAAATTTTCTTTTTTCTACGAAAAATAGCCTAACCTGGGGAGTGAAATGTGAAAAATTAAACTTCAGAAAATCTTAGGGAAGTTATTAGATCAGCCTCGAAATTTGTAATGGAACGGTCAACTAGAAATTTTTAGCCGTCCTCAAGTAATGGAAAATTCTAGGCAATATTTGCTTCTCCGAACAGATATTTGGCAGAAAACAGTCGTTGAGGGCCCCTGAATAATCACACGATATTCCGAACCTCTAAGGACAAAGACAATTTTGAATTATCGGTTCGAGTTTGGGGTACAATTGATAAAGTGGCAGGGAGAGTAACCTTCAATTTAAATTATCGGGTCAGAAGAGAGTTCCGAGAAACCGCCATGGGGTTTGAGAAGTTTGAATAGGATTCTACCATATGATTGAACTGATTTCATCACGTAATAGGTTTGATTCAAGTTATTTTCTCAAGATATTTTATATATTAGTATCAGATAACAGTTACGGAATCAACAGCTTTGGTCTCTATCGCATGGTATCAATCACATAAATTTGAAATTTCAAATAACCAAGTTTAAGTAATTGTCAGTTTCACACATTTTAACTCACAGTTTTTGTCTAATTCAAAAAACAATTTAAAAAAATAGAGTACCGGAAAATTTGTTGTTTCGGAAAGTCACAGGCGATGGGGATTTCAGGCACTTTTCTAAACTAGCAATCTATTGGTTTCGCTTAGTAAGAATTAAGTAACTTACTTTCTGAATGTTCTTATCGTAAAATTTTCAACTCTTCACACTTCCGCAATCTGAGTTCCTAAACATTTTAAAAAAGAAACTCTACCCTTTATCAAAGTTATACTCGACTAAGCATTGTTTACAGGTAATTCATCAACAGTGGCCGTTGAGGTCTCTATCATTTCAGTAGAACATTCACATACCGATATTCCTCTGTCGACCACAGCTGCCCTGAATCTCATTCAATTCTCAGAGTCTTATCGAAGCCTTACTTCTGTGTGTAAATCTCTTTACGGTAAAACGTAAAACGTTCAAATTAGGAACTTCTCAACTGCATGAAGTTCCTTAACAATCGGCGGAAATTTTTAAGGTAAATCTCTAAACACGAAAAAGTCATCCAGAAACGTGTTAATTGACTTGTTAATTGACTTGCATTTCGGTGCACTGCTCTGGGTTGCTCTTTTCGCGCTGTCTCGAGAGTATTAATATGTTTGTTTCTGATCTGCATTAACTTAAATTTTCTGGTCTTCCTTCACGCCAAGGAGTCATTTTTTTATTAGCCAAAGACAGTTTAAATGAAATAACTCCTCCGATGTGGGCATTTTCCCTTGCGATTACATCTAAATATGCAAATTTTAGTGTGGTTTCATGTCCGCTCTCCTAAGCAAACAATTCTGAAGTAGTGCATTCATAAATTTATTTTCAATGAACAAAGAATGAGGGTTTAATCAAGCCTAATGAGGAATTATAATCGCGAAAATGTAAGTTACAACGTTAAAACTTCGAGACTTTGTTCATCTTCGGATTACTTTACATTTCCTTTAAAGTTTTTTTCTTTTTTTATTATAACACTGTATATTTTTTACATCTGTGGTGATTTTACTTAATCTGCAGTGAAACAAGAGTAAATAGTCGCGCGACAGTATTTACTTTCTTAATGTTTTGTGACATGTTTAAAATTGAACTGACAGCTCAGTTATTCACGACATTGACTATCACCTGCCTTTAAGGTGTTTCTATACAGTTTCTCGGAGACCATACAGATGTTTTTCAATCGCCGTCAAAGTGATTTTATCCTTCTCTCATCGCCACAAAATTTTCACCAGTTTGCCAAAATGCAGTTTTTTAGTAAAATCCGGCGATATCACTATGACAACAATAAACAAAAAACTTCGAAACCGATGTAGTCTGAGTTTCGCGCGATCTAGACCTGCTACTGAAAATCCGACACCGGGAACTTAAAGTGTGGTGTCTAACAAATAACCGCCGTGAGAGGTAACAAATTCTGTATGTTTAAATTCAAATAAAACGTAAATATATTTCAAACCTTTTAGTTTCAATAGCCGTGATAAATTGTTTAATAAAAGAGTTCTAAATAACTCAAATATATCTTAAGTAGCGTCAGAAGGCTGCTTAATATCATTATTCGAGGCATGGACTGGAAATTTTGGTGTATTTTCTTTCTTGCGATCCTGAAAACTAACCTGTTTTCTCACCACCTATCTAAGTGGAACTTTATTCTGAATTTTGACTTTTAGCGCTTTTCTTTATATCTCTAAAACTGCTCGGCAGAATTCTTTTTTAACCTCATCACACAATCTCCATGATGTATATATTAATGTCTGAAACTTGATTGAGATTGATTCACTGCTACACCTTGAAATTTCAAGACGAACCTTGCCTACGAACCGACCAAAATCGGCGCTACAATATTCACTGTTTTAACGTTACGCTTAGCGTAATTTTCCAAATTAATGATCGCCATACATACCTCCACAGCTAGTACATTTTAGTAAGACTTTTATTGCATATTTTGAATGTAAAACGTTGATAATGCGCACATCGAAATGAATATGTTGTGGCGGTCGGACAAGGATAAAATCACTTTTAAGACGATTGAAAAACATTGGTTTGGTCTCTGAGAAACTGTATCGAAATACCTTAAACGGATGAATAAAGGATATTTTTGCTTTGAAATAATACCAATGGTACATATTAGTGTCAAATATTAAGAGGAAGTTATCTCTGTACCCGTGGTTTGCAATGCTTTCATGCCCAAGGTGACGAGAACGCGATGGGCCGTGATTTACCTCTCTCCCACGATTTTAAACATCAGTGAAAATTTGAAGATCTAAGCCTGTAAAATAATCTACCAGTTATTATAGTATTTTGTAAGAATTCTTGAAAGCTTCAACTTCTCACGTCCACTGGTTAGTTGTCCCATATCTTATTTGTTGTGACTAGGAATGTGTTGCCCCCGTTTTTTGCGCGCATGGCTCCTGCTTGGTCATTCATACTTAGGACGAACAAATGTGAATGAACTACGACGCAAAGTCCTAGAAGAGAACACACTCGCTTCCGCTTGATGGTTCAACTGAAAATTGTTATGTTTAAACACTTCTCAAACCTTCCTAGTTTAGTAAATTAATATTGATTTCGTCAAAAAAGAAAACAAACCAAATATGACCGCAGTCCACTCCGGGAGTCCACTCTTTCTATCTCTAGCATGTAGGATACGTTGTTATATTGTATTTTAAAATTATTCACTTCATAAGGCCATTGTACTGGGTGTATTTTATTTACTTATTTCAGTATTCAGAATTTTTGTTTTTAAACTCCTAGGATAGTTACACTGTTTTAAGAGTATACTTATTAAAGATTAAAGATTAAAGACAATCTACCAAATCAAAAGTAAGGGACTGATCACATAAGCCGGGCTAGCCTGGTTTGTAGGGCTAGCTCCCTTACCCAAAACAGCAGCTTGCTCAAACTGAAGCAACACTAGAAAATCAGCTTTGTTTTTACTTGAAAATTAACCAAGCTAGCCAGTTTAGCTGATGAGATTCCATTATAGCGGCACAGGAAGTCTTGCAGCCCGAGGACAACTACGAGTACGAGAATTTCTCAATAGTAAGTAGTCAGTAATTTGGGTGGGAAAACGTGATAGCCGTCGTCATTCTACAACAGGTTTTAGCGAGAATGTTGTAGTGGCGGGAACAAGTTATCAAATGTTAGACGTTTTATCATTTTGCTATCGGGAAAGGCCTAAACCTTCTCCAATAAAGATAAACTCACTAATTTTTCAGGTGAAAAAAAGTACAATGAAGCTTTCCAGGTTACTTTTCGAGAGTACGTGAAAAAATTTAAAGTTAAATCCCGTACTCGTACTCGTTTTCAAATCTAAAGCTCTCTGTTATAAAGGCCCTTATAGATACATTTCAGGGCTAAATATTTATAATATTAGAACTGTTAATATTAGACACAGTACCAGTTCAGTTACAGACTCTGAGCCGAGTACCTTAATTAGTTTAATACGCAATTAATATTCCCATTAATGAGCTTAATTAAATAATAAGTGAAAAGAGAAGACCTGACTCTGGGAGTGTAAACAGGTTTCAAGTATAGCGCCTGGGATCATCGATCGGAGTAAAATGACACGAAAGACGCGTGCCCCCTCGAATAAGGCGTTGAACTCCCCCGCAACAACGCTATGTTGCTGTTAAGTAACTCAGTGGAAAGGGCATAGACCTCTTAAAAGAAACTTTTGCAACGTTCTAAAGCTCTCTTTATGCTATTTAGACAAAACAGAGAAAAAGACTAAACAGTACTATATGTATCAATCATTCGTGAATGAAATGTTTTATATTAAAGCTGGATAATTTAATGAGGAACAAAGAAAAGGAAAGGAACCAGCAAAAGGATACGAAGTTCCCCCCTGGAAGTTGAGTTTTGGCCACAAGAAGCAAGCACTAAGGACAAGGCTGCACAAGGAAAATAAAACATTAAGTCTTATCCAGAATTTCTTCGTTCGGCTCGATACCAAACTTAAGAATATCATCATTAACAGATGCCCATGCCATTCGCTTTGTAGTAAAACCCTTCCCAATCTGTCCATGCTTATCGATTGCAATCACTCCCCCCTGACCACCTACTCTGTCAAGCATGCTTTGAAGAGCTTTCACACAGGCATGTCCAGGGGGATGCCCTCCTTCTATGTTGTAGACCACCTCCCTTGCAAGCATCACCTTTATGATTGATTCACCATGACCAGTGGATGACACTGCCCCTTCCTTGTTTGCATACCCCCCGCAGCCAACCAGAGGACTGTCACCAACGCGGCCAGCCATCTTCAATGAAATACCACCTAAAAATGAAGTTAGGGTGAAATCAGTTTGACGAGAAAGGCAACTTTGAAGAAATCTTACGACAGCCTGTTCAGCGTGAATTCTTTCGTAAGTTAGAGCATCCTACAAGCCTGAGAAAACAGCTGACATTTTGCAACACCACCACTGGTGTCCCCACGAAATGACGTCTGAGGAGCAACTGCAGAAATTCCATACCGATGAAATGCACCTACTCAGATCTGGGTAATGCTCTGATTGGTTGAAACAAATTTCCGTTGTGGCATGACCAATGCAATCAGGAGGACTAGTCGGAGCTACATGTAGGTAGTGCATTTCATCAGGGCTAAATTTAGCTAAAGTTCATGCACAGCTCGTTTAACACATTCCTTGAAGACATTATGGCGTTTACTCAGCCTTTAAATCTGTGGACGAAATTCTGTCGTGCAACCACTCAAATGAATCCTCTTTCACAGAACTTTTGTGTATATTACAATTTTTTTTTTGCCAAATGTGATTGGAATTTTTAGTTAGTCTTTATAAGGAGTAAAAATATAAATGTGGTATCCTAACCTGTAGATGTTGCACAAGCCAATCTCCCTGAAGAGTCCAAAGCAACAGCACCAACTGTGTCATGCCCAGGATTAAGGTCATTAAGGCTCGCATTAACATGCTTCACCTCTGTGTTAAAAGTTCTTATGACAGCATTGTTAAAATCCTTGTGACCCTCCAACTGTAGTCGTGATTCCTCACTTATAAGCTCAAGAGGGTCATTTAAAACTGGGAATCCTATTTTGTTGGCATAATTGACAGCACCATTTGCAACAAAAAAAGAATGGGGTGGGTCTTCCATTATATGACGTGCTAAGGATACTGGATTAGCTATTCCTATTACTGACGCCACTGCACCTAGAAACAATACCAAAGATAAGTCAGTATTTACTTCATTAATGTGCTACTTCCTCCATTTCCACACTGATGAAACATCCTGTTCACCTTATGCCAAGTGGTGCACGACTCTTATGAAGTGAAGTAATGTAAGTAGTTAATCCATTATGATTGGACCTAGCCAGCGAGCAAGGACCTACCAGGAACAAATTTTCCCCTCAACAATACAGTAAGTGTTGGGGGGGATACTGGAGTCTCAACAAAATACAGGTATCAATGCATCGCAAAAAGGAAGGAATGATTATGGGCTGTCACAAAAAATTATTAACTTTAAATCAATTCCATTGAATAAGACTACCACTTGATATTAGCCTCCTTTATTGCCAAGGTAGGTGACTGGACTCGGTCACTCTTCAAAACATAGGCACACAGGTAGAGAATGTAGAGTGCTAGCAGTCCCTTTTGAGGCAATCAAGAGGACACACTGCCATGGTTAAAATGAGAGGCAGAGGCTACCTGCAAAGAAATCCTAAAAGAATGCTACTTTGGAACCCTTCTCTACACACACCTGCTTAACACAGACACCAATATATAATGGACAATTTCATTTGTCTCGAACGAAAAACTGATATCTTTTTCTGTAGGATGAACCTCCTTAATATGGACACTGGTTAATATGGACGACAGACACGTTTCCGTGACCCTAGTGACAAACTCTCATATATTGTCACCTCACTTTACGGACACTAGGGGTGTGTTCCTTTCGGCAAATCCAACAACAGATTTTTGATCCTAGATTTGCACTATTTTGTGACTGAAAGGAATGCGAAATCCGAACTTGGATCTGTAACCTTGGCAACCTTTTGCAAACGTATTCCATATGAAACCTCTCAAGAAATGACTTGTTCTCTACTGTTTGACCAATTATGCAATGAAGCCTTATAGAATTAGCAACAATGGAGTGGAACATAACCAAAACGAGAAAGAAGCTAGATAAAGTTTAAAATTATGGAAAGGTTGTAGGTTCAGTTTTGTTACGCAATCTTTAAACAGTGTTTATACTCTTTTGAGCTCCTCAAATTCCAGGACTTTCTACGACTATTTCCATGCATGACCTTTCCAAGTTTTCCATAACCTTAGGTTTAGCTTTCACTTTCAAAAATTTTCAAAACTTTCCTTGTTTTAGCATATTTTGTTTACCTTAAACAGTTCAACAGACACAAACTCTGGTGTTCACCAAAATGCATGCCGTTCGCACTGTTTAATTTCTCCTCTTGATCTTAAGTTGTCCTTGCTTTGCAGTAACTAGTCTACTAAAGAGAACTTTCATTTTCCATGACTTTCAAGGACCAACAATTAAATTCCATGACCTTCCAGGCCTGGAAAATGAAATTCTTTGATTCCATGACTTTCCAGGTTCTCCATGACCTGTACAAACCCTGTTAAAGAAAAATGGCCCTGCAAATGGTAGGTAAATGGATGATTTACTGTACCTGGAACAATCTTCCAGTGTTTTCAGATGTCTTATGGCAAATAGGAACAATGGGGAAACTCAACGGTTATCTGACTTCAACTGGAAATATTGCAGGGCCCGGGGTCACCTGACTAATTTTGAATCCATTGTGAATGGCACAATGTAGATCACTAATCCATTAATCTGGATTTGGATTCTTTGGCTTTCAAATCTAACTGAGCTTTTTTGAAAAAGGATTCACCAGATATAAAATTGGGATTTTGATTTGCCGAAAGGATCAAAAATCCATTTTAAGATCAAATATCCATTTTTGGATTCACAAAAGGAACACACCTTGGTATCTGCACACTGTCTATTTTCATTGTGTGCCAATTTTAAACATTGAATCCTGTTTAAAAAATGAAATTTCTATAGGTTAATACAATTATTTAATTACCAAAAAAAACCAAAATTACTTGATGTTTGATTTTTCAGGATTTTGATCAGTCCCTCTATCTTCCAGTGTTTGACCCTCTGCTCTATGTTACACAGGTTTCATTTCATTGGCTTTTTTACTTTCAGTCATTGCTCCATGGTTTGTGACATTTTCTCTTACAGCCCACCTACATAATAATATAAACACTATAATGGCACGTCCCCTTGGTGTCTGTGTTAACCGGGCTCTACTGTAGCTGTCTTAAAAGCATGATAATGATGCTATGCACGAGCCAAAAAATACCCTTTCCTTGCACCTATAATAGCTGCATTCTTTCCATAGAATCATAAAAATCTATAGCATCGGGTTGTTCAGTCAGTAAGGTGACTAACAAGGCAGAATTTTGGCAAGTCAGTAATTTTCAAGGCAGTAATTCAGTCAATTAGCAAACCTGATAATGACTTATTGCAGTTAAGGTCTCTGTTTCCAGTTCAAATGTTGAGGACTGTGACACGCCCAATTTAGCCAGCAAACGAGTGCACTTGTACCTGATTCCAGTGAGTATCCATCCATGATCATTGCATCAACTTCAACTGTCAAATCTTCTGTAAGAACTGAGCCATGACCAGCATCAAAAGTTGGGTCATCTTCTAGGATGCGAACAGCTCCTTCGACTGCATCAACTGCAGTCCCACCCTGGGAAAAGCGAAGAGTTATTGAAAAATAATCAAGTCTTTGATTTTACATTCCCTCAAGGATGAACCCAGCCAGTGAGCCATCAATATATACTTTATAAAGATACAATCAAACATATTTTGCATACATGGACACCAACAGAAATGCACCTCAACCCTCCAAGTTGCGACCATTTTAGTCGCCATGGCGCCTAAAATTTTGGAACTGGCGACTTGATTTCGAGAATAGTCGCCAAGCTGGCGACCGTGCAGAATAGGTTCATGTTGGCGTATAGAAACAGAAATGGCAATCACTTCTACTGAAATATGAAGAACATTTATTCTAGCTGATTTGAATTCTATTACGTTTTTACTTTTCCGCTGAAAAACATGCTAAATTGAAAACTTAAAAAAATCTCAGAGCTAAGCGTTTTGAGAATGAACATCAATGAAACTTGACTTGCATTCGTTCGCCAAATCGCCTTCAGTCTGTTGCCTTGCACATGACATTTTAACTTTTGACACGTGACAAATGGCACGCACTCGAAGCACCTTGCTTGTCGACAGTGACGATTTCTTCAATATCTTAGGAATGCTTGTCAAGCCAAGTTCCATGGTTTTTTAACTGGACTACATATTATAAATATTCTTGAATCAATATTGAAACAATCTAATAACATGAAGAGGGAAAGCTAAATTGGTGCAAATTCAACACAGAACATTATGTCATAACCGTAACATGTGAACCGTGCTGCGAGTTGAATCGTGGTTTTGTAAACAAAAGCGATAAATGTAAGCGAAACTAAACATCGCAAAACTGGTTGCAAAAAATGGTTTTTTTAAACACCTGTAGCGATGATAAAGGGAAAAGAAAATTTTTATTTTGTAAGCGGCATTTTTGTTTGGGTTCCTTTCAATTGATTGGGAAAAACATTTTTTCCCAGTACGACTCGTTGCGAAATTTCCACGTATCTCTATAAAGCAATGATTTGATTTACAAAACTTGTTGATCTTCCTTTACTCTCCTGCCTTTTTCAGGCTTTCGCGATGTCTAGCGATATTAAAAATGACCTTTTAAATCTCCAAAAATATTTGATAGTTGGGGAAACAAGTTCATCATCAACAAAAGTCGCAAAAGAAATGCGAAACAAATATCAGAATAAAAAAATAGGTCGCCTATCAAGTTGTGACTGGGAAATTTTGAACACATTAACAGAGGATGAGTTAAGTTCTGCTCTCATATACCAACTGGGGATTATACAGAAGGATTGAAGGTTCCAAAGACAACTGGAAATGGTAATTGTCTTTACAATTCCGTTTATTCTCAGACTATCAGTAACTAATGCCTTGCACAATAAACGAGTAATTTATAGACAGTGCTGCATTTTAAGTTAAACTTGCTAACTGCTTTTGTTGATGACAATTTTGATATATTAATTTATTAATATAATCTGGCGCCTAAAATTTCCCCTGGCGACTAAACCCAAAGAGCTGATCGCCAAATGGCCACTGAACAAAAATTTTAACTTTGAGGGTTGCACCTAAATAATTTTCTGCATTAACAAGGTGCCCTTATAGAAATTCACATTCGTTGCTGCATTGACCTTCTTTCAATTTTCATGAAGCTGGTTAAAACATAGTCTCTCCAAAGGAGAGACTATCGTTAAAATGACCCCCAGGTAATGCTCCCTTACTTGAAAATATAAGTAATAACCCCCCAAATCCAATCGAGATTAAAAGAAGGCTATTTTTTTACCTGTTTTAAGCAATCGTAGCCTTTCTGGGCAGCTCTCTTGACTCCATTTACCGATGCTTCTTTTAAGATGTCTGGTATGGCCCATGCGCCTCCATGAACAATGATACATGGTCGAGCCTCCATGATGTAATGCCGATATTGTATCTCAGCCCCGCATGAACATATGCCGCTGATACCTTTGCCCTCTTATATCTCACATGTTAAAACATTTACCCTAAAAATACGCATTTGCCTTTCAAATTGTCCAATTTTGTAGCGGATCATTGGTTTTTAGCCAATCTTGCCAGACAAGACTAGTACCGTGTATGAGGCACGAAATCGCCCAGGCGTTACATGATTTCATCCCAGGCTTCCCGCGATCTATAGCCTCGTCCCAGCGTTTTTTCATAAATTCCTTTCCACCCCATAAAGAAAAGTAACTGACCTGTCAATTTTAAAAATTTCTGTCCCCAACAATATATATTGCTAGAGCTTATATCAAGCTCGCAAACTAGTCGCTTTATAGGCAAACTCTGGGCTCCTGGCAAACTAGATGCTTTGTTAAAGTATTCTGCGCAAAAAAAGTCACTCGCTCGCAATCAGCAAGTCGAAAAACCTACAACCAGCTAGTTGTGTGGCCATCTTGGATGAGTGTCAAATCTACTTAGGGAGCGGGGGGCTCGGCAGAGGATAGTTTGGGAGGAGGCCCTCCCTGCTACCGCTATAAACCCCGACGCCCGCCCCCTTGGTACATTTGAAATTTGTAGATACACACGAGGGCCGATACACACGAGGGATTCTGCTTCTGGAGCATGCTCCAGGGGCACCCTCCGGGAGCAAAGCTCCTCCTTGTGTATTAACGATTTCATGGGTATAATTCATCCTCGGGAGCAGAATTTCCACCCCGCAAAATGCTCCACAATATTTAACCGGTTAAATATTTAGGAGCAAGTTCTCGGGGCAAATTGAGCGAACTTGAAAACGCTCCCTCCAGCTGTCCCTCGTGTGTACTGACACGTGCAAAATGAGCCTAGAGCATGCTCCGGGAGAAAAACCCCTCATGTGTATCACAGGTGGCCCAAGCGTAATATGAGAGTTTGTGTGGGAAAAAAAGAGTTTGAAACTTAGATGAAGAAGTAAAAGCGATAAAAGTTATCAATAAAGTGTAAATATTGTTACCTGGAGTCGTTGTCTTTCTCATTTTTACGAAGTTTCGGCGCGATTTGAGTACTTTTACCTCATCTGACCTGACAGTGTAATAATTATTAACGCTTTTACTTCATTTAATTCATCAAAGTTTCAAACTCTTTTTTCCCATACAAACTCTCATATTACGCTTGGACCACCTATGGTGTATCGTCCTTTACGTTAAACAGCAGACGCGAATTTGTATCACGCGAGCAAATAACTCATTTACTTGTCGTTTACCGATCATTATTTCTACCCAGTTTCACGCAATTTTTTATCCATAAGAATTGTTTTGAGCAAAAAACTGCTCATTTTCTATTTTGAGAAATTCTCAACTTGAATCTGACAAGCTTTTAACTCTCTAATATCCTGGCCGCTCCTAACGCAAAGCGCTCGATCTCGACGGTCTTACGGAAAAATAGGGGACTGTGAACAGTCCAAAACTTGGAGGCTTCAGGGAGTTGTGTCACACCCAATGCGCATGCTCCGATGTTTGAAAAATGTTAAGCTCAACAGGAAATCAAAACGAGTGTGATTTTGTTCCTTTCGAAAGGAAATCTGCTTCCATCGTCGTTATTTGGCACTCAACTTTAAAAAGTTCATAGCTGTTGGTAGTGTGGGATATATTTTTGTAGAATAACAACGCACGTAAAAAATTTTCTGCTTTTTCGACAACTAAATTTCTTGTCTTTCTATTATCTAGGAACATGCGACTCGAGCTTACAAAATACGTTTGAGCCTTTACTCCGAGATACAGTGGTAATGATAACACAAAATGTTACTCTAAGCAATACATAGGAAGGTAAAATACAAAAAACGAAACAGAATTTTGATCTTGGATTAGCGCTAATCAGCCTGTCTGGAACCGGGACCATATCTGTAAGAGTGAAACATAAATTTAGAGCTAGCTGCAATTGGCTGTGCGTCTGTATGCATTCAGAATTAAGGCAGGGACAGACGTGCTTGAGAACACTTTACTATCACTAAACACCGCGAGTTTTTTTTTATGCAATATATTTCATAAACTTGCATATAACATAAAAATTACTATATTTTCGAAATGTTTTGTATATAATGAAATAAATAATTTAATTGTATATTAACCCTCTCCCTTTGCAACAATTTTTTTTTTGTAGCTTTCTGCTTGATTCTTTTAAAACCTAGCACCTGAAATTATCAGCATGCCTACTGCTGGTTTGTAGCCAATGACACGGCGCTCAACTTGGTTGACCACAACAAAACTGAAAAGCCTTTCTCTTCGTTGGGAAATTAACCCTTTTGTCAAAAAACACACTGTAAAAAGCGTTTTCACTCGAGGGAGCTTAAGCAACAACGACAGCGACGACTACGAAAACGTCACTTAGGGCCTGTTTACATGGAGGTGGGGGACCCCAGGTAGCCTGCGTAGCTGGCGGTATTGTGTGGGTGCGAGATTAAAGTTTTGGCGGCGGAGCCGTGTTCCAAAAAAAAGGAGTAGGGACGAGGCGGTTGAAGTATTTCTCGCGGCTTCGCCGCTCGTGACGGCTCCGCCGTCGAATCTCACTCGACTATATTACAACGGCTCCGCCGCCAAATCTCACTCGACTACTACACAATACCGCCAGCTACGCAGGCTAGACCCCAGGTAGGTGAGGTAATCCTCCTGTCCATATAATCTCTCATTTTAACTTGATCACGTTTACATGAAAGGTGGGATGACCCGCCGAATGTTACCTCACGTATCTAGGGTCCCCCACCTCCATGTAAACAGGCCCTTAAAATGGGATTTCGCGCTGCTTCAAACTTTATCGCGCTTATTCCATCTCGTTCAATTCGTCAAATGCTGGCAATTTTTTCTGGAGTTGAATTCTAAGAAAGAAAAAGAAAGTCGTTGTGTTCACGTCCTCCATTAAACGGGAAAATAAGACATTTTCACGTCGTAGTCGTGAAGTGACGGCAAAGAAATGTACAAATAAGAGTGATGTACGTGCAAAGTTGTTGTTTTGCCAACTGAACCTAAACCTTCTGCTTTTTTGCCTTTCTCGTTGACGTCGCCGTCGTCCTTGCTTAAGCTCCCTATTGGTGTTCCAAAACGACGAAACCGTGACCATGTTAACTAAGGTCATGTTAAGAAAATCCTCAGGGCCCAGTTGTTCGAAGGCCGGTTAGCGCTTAACCCGGGGTTAAATTTAACCCTGGTTTCTTTTTCTTGTGTTCAAAAGCATTTTCTCGGATAATTTTCTCTCTTATTTTTAGAGCTTCCAATCATCAACTTGTGGACAAAAAGAATTAAAACTGAATTGCTTTTTAAGCTTTCAAATCTTAATTCAAATCTCGCACTAACCCTGGGTTATCTTAACCCAGCTTTGAACAACTCGGCCCAGCTGGAAGTTTAAGGCTATGTTCACACTATATCGGGTAACTTTTGGGCCGCCACGAAAACCATACCGGTTAGGGCTTCTGTTCACACTTCTGTTCTATGACGGCTTAGCCGATCTCTAAAGAGTCACATATCGGATACGGTGTTCATATAGACTACGAGCAGTCTCTCTCTTTTCTGTAGTCCGTCGAGCAGAACGCGAGACACGCAAATGGCCACGCGCGTGACTGATGGCGCGAGACGGGAGATGGCCCTCGTTACCACCGCGGCCGAACGTCTAAATCGTTATTTTTGTTTTTTATTGCTGGGATTTCATTTACCAGTTAGAGAAAAATGGGCAAAGATGTATAAATCAGTTAGTTAACATAACTATCTTTCCATTTTTCTCAAAATTTTGAGCTTTTTTCGCTGAAAACGCTTCGCGCTAAAAGAGAATCATGTTTGAAAATGGCGCCGATAATAACGTCAGCATCGGTTTCCAATCACCTAGAACTTTTTTAGTAAACTTTTAAAAAGTTTAGTAAACAAACAGGATGTTGGTAATACCCTAAACTTTCGATAGTGAAAGTAGCAACCTTAACTTTGAAGTATTTCGCTTAACTTTTGCAAATTTCACTCGTTTGACCGCTGTGAAGCCCTCGTTTCGCGCGTCTTGCGGCTTCGCCGCTCCCGCGCGTGCACTGCTCTAACTAAATCTGAAGAGAAAGAGAGACCGCTCGCAGTCTAGTGTTCACACTACACTGGATAGCTTTTCGCGGCGCAACGAAAAGGTATACGGACGCGTGTCGCCTTTTCTCGCGTGGAATGATTTTCACGCGCGCACGACGGATACGGTATGGTGTGTACATGACCCAACTCTTTTCTTGTGTTCCAATAAATTAGCATAGATGCTGGCCCTGTAAGTGAAAACGCTCTGTTGTTTTGTCAATAAACACTGCTGCCATGTCACGTTGTTACAAACCAAGAAAGGTGATTGAAAATCAGGACAAAATGATAGCAAAGAAGACTGATCAAGGAGAATGGAACTGAACATCAAAGCTGAATACTGACTCCTCCTCAATTGATACTTACATTTGGGACTCGAAAAAGTTAACTATACATCCAAAAATACAATAAATGCTCTCTGACATTCAGCGGAATAAAGTAATAGAGAATATTAGGGATTAGCTTTAGCAACCGCGACGACAACTTAAAACAACAAATAGTTTTATGAGCCAAACAGCAGCTCTGCACGTTTTTAATACATTTCTTTGACGTCCTCTGCACGACTACGACGTGAAACTTCCTAATGCGACGTTTTAAGGAGGGCGTGAACATACCACGACAAATCTCAGTTCCTTTACCTTTTTGAACATGGATCAAGTACTTAAGAATTCAACTCAAGGAAAAGTTACCAACATTTGACAAATTACCGTAAGAGGGTCCAAATAAACGCGATTAAAAGTTTGAAAGGACACAAATTACATTTTTAGTGACGTTTTCGCGGCCGTCGTTGTCGTCGTTTCTAAGCTCCCTAAAAACATCAGCAAAGCGCTTACAAAAGAAATTCTAAAGTTATTTTTAGGACTTCAAAGGAGAGACCTTTAAATAATTCAATTCAGGAGGAGTTGTTTTGCTTAGAATTTCTAAATAAAACCTTGACAATTTGTAAAATTTTGTCCTCGGATTACCAATCATGCATGAAAGAGTGTGACTATAGTCAGTCTATCCATCCAGTCAGAGTAGAGTAGATGAGCTTAGTTGGATTCAAGGAGTATAAAAGTGAATACAAAAG